AAATTGAAGGCTAGAGTTAGTGGGTTCTTCTGATACCCTCCTGGAACTACAGAACAGGTTTCAGGTTTGATTAGGGTATAGGACCTCAGATTCAAGTTTCACGTTTAAGTTCTAAAGCTCGAAATTTACCCGGAGTCTTGTTTTCGTAGGGTTTGGATACTTAGATTTAGTTTGTTTGGCCCAAAAGTGAGTGCCTTCAAATAATCTTTGACTCCAAGTTTGGCCCGGAAGAAATCTGCAAATCTAGGGAGAATATTTATCACAAACATGGATTAAGGAGTGCAGTAGCAGAAGTCGTAGCAGCAGAATCCCCAACAGATTTAGATGGTAATTACGTTTCAAATCCGAAGTCCGAAGACCCAAAGCCAACAACCCCACACACTAATTTCCCAATGGGGGTTTTCCAAGGCTGGGATACCGTTTTCCTTGGGGGATGTATATAATTAATAAAGAATATAGTATTTTGGGGTCCATATTGGGGTCCCCCTGCTGATGGAAATTAGCAAAAATCCCGCCAGAACAGCGAAGGGGCAAGTCCTTCACTCCAGCTTGTCCGCTGTCGTAGACTCTGCACGCAACTTTCGGCAATCGGGATGCTGAAGATCGCAGCCCTAAACCCCTAAACCCCTAAACCCAACCCCTAAACCCCTAAACCCTAAACCATATGCCGTCCAGAGTCTTCAGGCTTGTTTCCCCATTCGGGTTTTCAATCCCCGCTTGCATGAGACAGCGCCTGAAACCAGCCAGAGAGCCCCACGCAGATTTAGGTTTTAGGGTTTTGAGGTTTGGCCTTCATAGGGTTTGACAGTTCAGGAGGGCTTCCAGATCGATACTGACAGTCTTTGTGGCCACGCTGTGGGTTTGCAGTTGACTGGAACAATCCTGTTTCAGTACTGTTTCGAGGTATATGACGGCACGCTTGATATGAGCCCTCGCCCTATAAGCCTTATGATCATGAGTAAAGATGTGCCTCATTAAGTGGTGGACAGAACTTAAAACTTCTTCAGGCCTTAACCCTATAGTCCGCCTTAAGATCGAACAGGGGGTATATGCGGATCTTATTAGAATATACCCAAAGCCAATTTCTATCTGCGTATGGGGCACTAAAAAACTAAGAAAGCAATTCAAGCTCTCAAAAAGAGCAGTAGTCGCTTCAACTCCAGGGGTAGGGTCGGGTTGGGTTAGTATATGCTGTGTTAGGACACATAAGGGTTATAGGGTTTAAGGTTTAGGGTTTGTTATGTAGGGCGATATAACTAAATGGGAATCATGGAAAAGAACATGGCAACTGCAATTGAGGGCTGCTGTCAGATGCTTTTTGGCTCAGCATCCCCAAGGGATGGCTATCTGAGCCCATTCGGTTCAAGCATGCGGAAATTTCCCGCATGGTGTGTTCTCTTTGAGACCTCCCAGTCGAACGGGCACCATAGGTTCAAACCGCGGATTATGGGTTCGGACAGTTTTCAAGGAGGGTTCCATTTAGACTCTCATCGCTTCATGGGCGACAAGAGTTGCGACTCAAGAAGGCGCTTTGAGGAACATTGCAGGCATCTGAAGTCATGTGTGCGTTCTCGTTCTATTATGGATCTCAAGGAGCCATGCTTGACGGGAAATCGCTGTGTAGCGTTCACGGGGACGGAGGGACTGTGCACGAGAACAGGATTTTATTTCAATTGATGGCGCACCTCAGTTCAATCTGCGAGCCTCAACCTAGCCCCGCCAGCCTCAAACTTTGACTCCTGGAGTCTTGTTTTAGATCTCGTCCGCACAAGAGATGGAATCCTGAAGCACGCCCCCTCCACCGACTGGCTTTGATTTGGCCGTGCACTGGCTCATGTTATAGCTAACCTGAAGTGCTGTTCCCAAACTCTGGTGGAACATGTCTTAGAAGAGCTGCGTAGAAGTTGAAAGGGTCGCCAGATTTCCTATACGATAATGAGCCCAGCTTTGTAGGCCTGATAAGACTTTTACGTGAAGGGCCCCCTCAATTGAGAAATCCTGGTGTGTATCTGCCTGACACTTGTAGAAGTCATCATTCCACAAAGAGCCTATCTATATGCTTGGGGCTGGGTCTTGCTGGTACTGGTGTGGCAGCTGGGGAGGGTGCGGTGCAAAGAGGGGGGACGCGTGGGGGGAGGGCAGAGGTGTTGGCTGCGGTTGTGGTGCTGCAGCAGTGTGAAGCAAGTACTGGCGCAGCAGCAGCTCATAATCCGAATTGTCTATGACAGACGGCAATCATAATTAGAAGCGGTACCTACGAAACCAAAAAATTGATTACGGTTGTCACGCTTTGTATGCCTTGTTTCTGAGTGCACGAACCACCAACACTCAACAGGAGTGTGGGGAGCATGGCCATCCCGCAACCTATGTACCCCATTCGTGAGCTCTCTAGTGCAAAAGCGGGCAGGCTCTGCGAGACGGTGAGGTTACAGCTGATCGTATGCCCCTCCCCTCACCTGACTAATGATGCCTAGTTATGGAGATTGCCATACAACAGAGACAGAGTATCTCCATGTTTGAGGGGGGGAGCTGAATTTCCGTTAAAGGGCAAGTCCAAATTACAAGCAGTCAGCTGGACTTCTTGGGGGCCTGGATTTAGCTTAATGGGTGTGTGGCATTCAGGTGTCAGGGCTTCTTGCCTGGTGACTAACCAGAAACCCAGACCGTTTCAAGTCCTACTGGATTAGCTTGCCTCATCAAAAAAATCATGGTAACTTTCAGGGGGCTCTACATAAGGGCGGCTCCCTGTTAGGAGAACCATCGAGAGGTTCTACGGAGTCCTTAGTTATGGGCCCTGCATGTATGTGCGTTTTCTTGAAACCCTCGGGATCCAAATAGCCCAATGTAAGCAACACTTTGCAGACTTTAGAGTGCCATGTAAGCATTATTTGTATGGAAACATATCAAGCAAGATTTCTCCGCCGAGAGCTACTAGAGTTGCTCCTAGGTGCTTGGTATGGAATAAGGGAAAACTAATCCCATTCCCCTAATCTTAAAACCGCCCACACCCCTCATACTAAATACTCTACTAGTCTGCAATAACTGGAATACTTAGAGGCGTACGTTTAATATTAGTTTGTATACGTACAAGCAACTGGTTGCATCCAGCCCTAAACCTGATATCCTGGAAGGAGTGCCAAACTGACGAGACAACACTTGCCTAAGGAGTTTTGGAAGCATGGTACCCCTTAAACTTACCACGGAACCCTGCAATAGAAGCCCCTTCATCGCCGCCATGTCGGAAGTGGATGTTGTCATCGTTGGCGGTGGCGTTGCGGGTTTGGCGGCAGCAGCCTTTTGTTGGATTTAGGAGCTGTAGAGCCTTAAGCTTCTCAGAGTTTGTTTTAGTGGTCTTGGTTTCGGATTTGAGGGTTTAGGGACTAGGGGTTCAGGGTTCCCGGTGGGTTGCAGCAGGATAATATTCGTATGGAGACGCAGGTTAGTTGATACAGTATCGCCGTGCGAAGGCCCCTTGTTCTGAAAGTCTAGAGAAGCATTCTGTTGTAGTGATTTTCAGTTTTTTTTTTTTTTTTGCATCAGAATTCTCAGACAA